TGCCCGGGGTAATACGGTAGTAGTACGGTATTTGTAATTTGATAAATAATGGTGTTTACTGTGAATACTGTAAAACCATTTTTTTTCACTATATTGATGTTTTGAGCAATTTCACTGGGTTCACAGACTTGGCAGGAAAACAATGAGTTCTATTGTTATTTACATGTTTACAGGGATTTAATTCAGCGGATTTGACTATTCGACTAATTTTGCTATCTGAAAAATAGCGAAATTAAAAACCAGTGAATAGTTAATGCAGTAAATTTTCAGTGAACCTTTAGTGACAAAATTTAGATTTTTCTAGACTGACTAGATACCATGAAAACATTTAATTTCACTTGAATATAATTTATTTTGTGTTTATTTTTTACCTGATTGTCTTCGTTCGCTGCACGCAGCTTCGCTTGACTGGCTTCCCGACTCTGTTCGATTTGTTGCAGATTCAGCTGGAGATCGGCTAATTTCTTACGATATCCTTCAATCTCGTCTTCCTTCGCACGAATCACGAGACGTAATTCATCTAACTGTTTCAACTTATCCTAAAAAAATAAACATTCTAATTGAAATCCAAAGATAAAATTTATGCATTGTGATGCGATCATATCCAAATTATATTATGATAGAACTCTTCTGATTGGTTGATAATGAGGGTTTGCCATGGACCTTGAGGTCTGCAATAACCAATCATACCATCTGTTTTCTAACTCTGGTAGAGAGTGCCAGAGTTCTCATAAGTTATTGAAATGAGCATCAAACAAATGAACAGTAGATTTTACAGGACTTAGTTCTTCAATCATCAACTCTGATTTACAAAACAATACAACTCAACGTAACATCATGCATTACAATATTGTACCTGATTGGCTACCCAACCCTAACACCTAACAATTGGACCAATCAGAGAGCAGCTTGTTTGTTGACAGGTTTTTTCAACCTATCAAATTCTGCCTTGTATATGAGCTATGACTCATACTCTGGTCTTCTTTTCTGCACCCTGACAGATTTTCAGAAACACAAACCCTAGTACGAAAGCTGTTTCCCATGTCTGTATATTTTACTTGAACTATTACCAAAATAACATATCCTTCTTAAACCGAGATGTCTAGATCTCCAGTTTTGTTTGAAGATCCCCATACCTCAACTTTCTGTTTCCAGAACCCCAAATCCTCATTACCCCAGCCCTGTTGATATCCCCCATTTCCAGACCTCCAGTGTCATATCGCCTGACACCACATTGACTCAAAGTTGTGCTAATTTCCAAATTTTCTGTTTCAAGAACCCCAAACCCTTATTAACTCTAGCTGTATTGATATCCGAAGTTCTAGGCTTTTGGTTTCAAAAATCCCCAATCTCCTTAACTCAAGCAGTGTTGGTACTCCCCATTTCCAGATCTTCAGTTTCAAGGACCCTAAAACCTCCCCAACCCAAGCAGTGTTGATATTGCTATTTCTGTTTCTTCAGTTTCAAGGACCCCAAACCCCACTAACCCTAGCTGCTTCTGTTTGTGCTTTCTGTTTCTGGATTTCCAGATTCTTGATATCAATTTGTTTATACAGTTTTGTCATCTGGTCTTCTTTATCTTCAATTTCTAAAAAAGAAAAAATGGAACTTGTTAATAATTGTTGATTCAAAAATATGCCCTGATTTTCAACTTTTATATTTATTTAATTTTTGGAATATTATAATTTTTTCCACCAAAATGTTGGTGTGACGTTTTGAATATTTTTCAATGATTTTAATGTTAATTAATTTGAGACAAAATTTACATAAAATTGTGTGAAAAATGACAGCTTTTTTTGAGAAAGTTCAGTTTTTGAAACATTTTCAATTCCAAGTTGATGCAACTTCTATGATTTTTTTTGTTTTGTATACAAACAACAATTTCATGACATGTTGTACCAGTAAGAATTATTTTCGCCAAAATTTTGGTGATCTCTGACTAAAAGTAACTAACACTGAGTGATTTTCCGGTCACTGCGAGATCTTGCATAATGCATGAAAGGCGCAGACCAAATGTTTGCCGATTGAATTTCATTTTTTTGTAGTTCAATGTCGAAACTTGCAGAGGGGAATATGATGTTAAAGACCTCTTACTTCATCAAAATTGACCACTATCATCTCCTTGTATTGCCCTGCCTTGTAATGCTATGGGAAGTGCGCCCTCATTTCAGGAAATAATTTCCTGTATCACACCTGGCCCAGTGTGTCCAGCTTTCATCAATCAAACAAAACGTGTCATTCTAAATTATGTCTCGTATTTGAGGTAAAACAATCGTAATTACACATATAAGCCTAGGTGTACGATAAAACCTTTATGGACTGGATGCTGCCCTCAGTCGTACGGCTTATGCATCCTCGCAAGCTTTGGTGCACAACCTTGGGTCACAAAAGTTGTATCCAATCCATAAAGAATATCATCAAATATGTATAGCACCTTATTAGGCACGGAAACACCTCAAAAAGTAATTTCTCATTTATCCAATCCCATGTGATGTTTTGACGTCACCATGAACTTTGTTTGTCCTGTTTTTACGTTCAATTTCAAGCATTCTACGTGATCTTGCAGTTTACCATCATAACTCGCCATACTAACCTGTTTGTGCACCAAGTAATTTCTCTGTTAAACTCTGAATGTCTTCCTTGGCCTGTGATAAAGCCTTCTCTAATTTCTTCTTGCTCCTAGTATACAGACAATAGGCTGTTATAATAGTGTGTTTACAAATGATGTAATTAAGTAATGTACTGTAAAATGACTAATTTTCACTGGGTTTAAATTTCACTGATTTACCATTTCAGGCATATTCAGTGGGTTTTAAATTCACGGTTTCATCATTTAGATAATGTGTTCTATGCTAAATTTTACATATTCACTGGGTTTTAATTTAGCGCATTTTCCAGTCAGCGAAATAAGCTAAATTAAAACCCAGTGAATAATTACCCCCTTTACAGTAATAGGAACAAGGGAAAAAAAGTTAAAAAATCAATCTGTGATTCAGATATTCCCCAAAATTACTACGCTATGACAACTTATACATCATCTGAGAGTTTAGATATGGTAATGCAATTATACTTGTATAAGTCATATTAATGCTAGTCTGAGTGCCATTCAACAACCATGGACATATGACTCAGATCTTCTATGATCATAACCAGAGACATTTACTGTGACCTCTCAAACCAGAACAGGTCATCAAGTAATTATACAGAAAATAACCATTAGTGTTTTGAAGAAAATCAGTTAGCACTAAAACACTAACTACATGGGAAAAATATACATGTATAACCATCATGGTGCAGCCAAACATAATATATTTTAACCATATGGTCTATAAAAGATAGCCATGACCATGGAAGATCTGACACTACAACTCAACCATCATGGAAGTTCTGACCATGTTCTGCCAATGATCGACCATGATCATGGAAGTTATGGTTGAGCATAGTCATCGATGTTCAACCATGATTGAGCATCATCATGTACCACTGCAATTAGTTATTGGCTATGGTTGTTCATGGTCAAATACCATGGTATACCATAGTTGCCCATTTGCTTGGGTAATAGAACAAATACAGTATCCTTTTTTTTCCACAGCGACACATGAATATCAAAACTGGAACCTCCCTGACTGATACATGTCAACTATTACAATGGAACTTACTTTGTTGCAGCTTTGCCACCAGTTAACGTGTGCACATATGTCACCATTTCATGGTTCAGTTCTTGTAGTTTCTGTGAAGCACTCGCCGCTGTATTCAGTGCATCCTGTATACTGTCAGACACTTCCTCCAAATCAATTTCGTTTCCTTTCGGCATCAACTCGTCTTCATCGTATGTATTGATGGAGCTTACAAAAAACTATAGAAAAAACAACAACAAACTTTAAGATGGTATCAGGGGGATTGGCACAAGAGGGTGCCTTCCGATCCGAATGGAAAATTTCGAAGTCAGTCAGTCGTAGCCCATCATTAACGCAACAACGTCCCTTCTATGAATTTCAGCAATTTTTTAACAGAATAATCCTCAACATAACTTAGAAACATCTCGTAGAAAAAAAAGGTTCTAAAATGATATCTAGTACAATACAATTCAACCGACAGCCAGTTTGACGCCACAATTTCTTGCTGTAGCGCGAGTTCTACGCGTG